TACACTTGGAATAACTTGAGAGAATTCTACACTTCATGAAAATCGGATAGCCCTCTCTAGAATAATACTAGTACCGATTTTGTCAAGAATAATATCTTTATATAGTGTTACAATTAGGGCAAACCCTAATTGTCATGACTTTCCATTTCCTTGGATCCATGGGTTCAAATACACCATGGAGCATCATATGGGTTTTGGCCCAACTAGATAATCCATGGAGCATTAGCCCACTATACAAGTATGGATGATTTACACAATCAACCCATATATTTAATTAGTCTTCTTTTGATCACTTAATTAATCCTAGATTAATTCTTGATCTATACTAATTAAATAATCTTATTATTCTTATTATTAATATACTAGAACTTATAATATATTAATAACCATAAGTGTCTTATTTCTCTCATTATAGTCTATCCAAGTGCATGATGCCATGCAACCCAAATGGACCATGCCGGGTCGGGTCAAGTCTTACCAATTATAGTTATGGACTTAGACATTAATCCAACACTCCCCGCCTTGGGGTTCGAACCACCACCCACTGTCCCACACAGTCGATCATGGCGCCAAAACGTCTAAGCTAATCCATCCTTACAATCATACATACATCCTCCATGGGGATAGGAATCAAATCTATCGGGAAGGACACCCCGAAAATCTCCAACTCGCATCCTCGGTCGACCGAAGAAGAAGAAACCACGTACTCGTTGGCGATCCAAACTCGCAACGGACACTCAAGATCATCTGCTGGCACTCTGAACCCTCTAGAGAAGGTCTGAGATACAAACGACCGACTTGCCCCCGAGTCAAATAATACCAAAGCGGGCAAAGAGTTCACTAAAAACGTACCTAAACACAGGTACAATCAATAAGCATAACACAAATACAATAACTGAGACAGGGAATAGAAACATACGGGCAACCACATTCGGTGCTGCCTTGTCCTCCTCGGCCGTGAGCTGGAAGGCGCAACCCTGAGCCTTCGGAGGCTCCACCTTGATTGGCCTCCCATCACCAATACTCACAGTAGTTGGCGCGGAACCCTGCGCCGACTTGGCGGCGAGCTACGGATAGTTGGTCATCACATGACCAACCTGATGACAATGGTAACAAATCCTCATATCCGCAGGAGTGGCAGACTGATGGCAGTCCCTGGCATAATGCCCCTCCTTGCCACATTTGTGGCACCCACCACCTGCTCTACAAACCCCTGAATGAACCTTGCCATACATTCCACAAGTGCGGCTCTGTTGACCCCCAGACCGTGTATCAGTGGTATTAGACCGCTTAGGCGCCGACTGAGACTGTGCCAGTGCCTGACACTACTCCTTCAGCTGCAGCTCTATCTCCAACTCACGCCGTCTCACGGCTTCCTGTAGATCCAGGAGGGTATCACAACGCTGTGTAGCCACAAACTGCCGTATATCCGTCTTGAGCATACTCAGATAACGAGTCATCTGAGACTACTCTGACGCAAACTCCGGGAAAAACATAGCCTTCTCAGTGAACATTTAGGTAATCTCCATCACAAACTCCCCATCCTGTCTCAATGTCAAAAACTCCTAAGCAAGCCGCTCCCGTTCCACGCGCATAATGTAGCTGGTGAGAAACAAATCTCATAACTGCTCCCAGGTAATAACAGCCCGCTGATCATCAGAATATGAACCTGTCGTCAATCTCCAACAGTCCTTTTGCCCCGAGCCTAAGCAGGTTCAGAGCACACATTACCTTGTGGTCAGCGGGACATGAGCACGTGAAGAAATAGCCCTCCACGTCAAACAACCACTGCATAGCTCTGTTCGCATCCTGCGTACCATCAAATGTCGGGGGCTTCGTATTATCGACGTCCCGGTACTGGAAGGCCCTATCGGCTCCTCCTCCAACCCGTGCCGCAGTTACAGTCGAAGCGACTGCAGCGGCTGCTGTCTCTACCAGAGCTGCATATCGCTCATCAAAATACTCAACCATCGCGGTCTTGATCGATCCAAACATCTCTTGTAGCTGCGCTCGGAAAGCCGCAGCGACCTTATCGTGCAGAATCTCCTGGATCCTGTCATCCAGCTCCTCAGTCTCTATCTGAACCACGGGCTCAGGTGCTACTGGCACATCTGACCCTCCATCTCCCGACCCTGACCCTGATCCGGATCCCGATCCTAAACCGGACCCAGCAGCAAAACATCTCTTCACCACCATACAGAAAGGTACACTCATGACATCAGATAAACAACATAATATTGGGAGACCAAAACCCACAAATCCTAGGGGTTGTGACTTCCTTGCTACGCGTATGGGTCCTATGCTTCCAGTAGTACGGGCCCATACTACCTTGCACACCTACCCATATTTGTCTCAAGTATCACCACAACGCCCTAATACTATACTCAACATAGAAATACGCTCAACTCTCACTTCTAGAGGATTACCAACTATCTCGCATCTAGTCTTACCACTTCTCATGACTCATATACCCATGAAACTTCCATCATCCCCTGTAGCGCTAGTGCATGCTATCTGCACATAACGCTGGACCCAATAGACTTTCGAATATCCATTCCTACCCGAAGGCCGAATCAACATTCTCAGGCTATAAGGTCTTTATTGTGCACAACCGTGATGCATACACTAAACATCTACAGTTATGATGCCAATCCCATATAAGAGAAATCCCTACGCTAATAGGCATCATATAATCAGGAAAATCTATCATGCGATTCCTGAAGATCATTAGCCTAGCACTAGCATGTTGTTCTAACATATCAGAATATCAAATAACTGTATGGTATTTTGGGGCTTTCTTACAGGCTCCGCTAATCGTACCCTCTGCATCCTCCATCCTTTATTTTGAAAACCATTTTAAAAACTTACTTTTCAAAAATCTCCTTGATTTGAGACTAGATACATACGAGTGTTCCTCCAATTCACTCAAACCAAGGCTCTTATACCAACTTGTAACATCCATAAATTTTGCGCCAAATTTAAATTTTTCAATAATAATTAAAAATTAAATAGCATCGTTTACAAAAATGTTTTCAAATCAACATCCATCAGAGTGTCCCAAAATCATAACATAAGGATGAGGAGCGGCACGGTCACGCCTTCGCCTTGCCATGATCTCCTGAAGTACCTGAAACAATAAACTGAAAACTGTAAGCCCGAGGGCTTAGTGAGCTACCCCTAAAATACAAATACCACACTAACAATGCCATATCAATAACAATCAATCAATCAACATGCATATTAGGCCATCGGCCTGACTGGACCGCCCTACTGGGCCTACAGTCTATCTGAATCTATCCCGAGCCTTCGGCATGACTGGTCCACCACGTGGGTCTGTAGTCTCCTCGGACCACACATAGGGTATGTTGGCCTTCAGCACAAAGCAGGACCGCCTTAACGCAACCACAAGCAATTAACCATGTGCGCATAACTATCATAATTTTACTACTGATTTTGTAAAAAAGTTAACGGAATTAATCATGAATCCTGTTAAATGAGCAAGAGTGATAACTCTACCTCTCATTTGTGGTCTGAGCGAACAAAATAAAAATAAAATGATTTTTCTCAATTGTGAAAATATTGTGGCTTTTATAGTATTTGCCCAAACTTGTTTAATATTTTTTTTATTACATTTTTTCCCGTTTTTCCAAAATTTCCTTTTATATTTCTATTTATTTTGTTTTCTTTCGCATTTAAAGTATTTTTTATATTTCTACTTATATTCTTTTTTAATAAACTTTACGATTTGAAAAACTCTTAAGGAAATAGTTGTGTAAAGGCTATTAAATGTTTTAAAAAAAGTTGGAAAATAAGTTTTGACCAAATCGTAAAAAAAAAAGTAAATTAAAAAAAAAAAACAAATATTTGGGTAATGTTTTAAAAAATATTTGGACCCACTTTTTTAAAAGATTTATTATTTTGTTTTTTACAAAAATTATATAGAATACAAGTTTGACATAATGAAGTTGATTATCCCATGGTGATAAAAATAAGAGATTGTGTCAATTATAATTGGTTAGTTGTTTTTTTTTTTTTTTTTTTTTTTTTTTTTTTTTAAGTTTTGTTGATTGTGCTGTTATACATCTGAGGGCAGAAAGATATTTTAGAAAAATATTTCTTGTTGATTGTTTTTTAAAAGACAAAATACATCATAAAGTATTTTTTACATTTTTTTTTCAAAAGAAAATAAATAACGTTTGGTTTTGGAATATGTTTTTTTAAGTTTCTAACCCTATGGGTGATATTTCTTTTTCCACCATCAATGTCCTCATCACCGCTACCACCACCATAGCGGCCTATCATTGTTGCCACCACCATCATCAACGTTATCCCCATCTTCACCCAACTACAACCCCTATCTCCGACATCACTCCACCTTTCCTACCTTTGCCATTATCATCATCACCACCACCAACAACAACAACACCAACCCCAACACAAACACCATCATCGGTCCATCAACGTCGCCAACAACATTAATACCATCGTTTTTTTTTTTTTTTTTTTAATTTAAAAAACAAACAATCATTTTTATGAAGTCTAAATTGAAACATATTTTTGGTTAAAATATAAAATAGACCGAAGTTATTCACCTCTTATAAAAGAAACACCATCTTAGTTTTTAATATAATGCGTTATTTCAAAACCTTTGTTTTAGTAAAAAACTAAAACGAATATTTGGGTCCTAAAATTTTCCAAAAACTTGTCTTAAACCTATCATGTGATAGTTGTATGTTCTAAAATTTTCCAAAAACGTTCAAAACCAACTTAAATCCGGGTCTAAAATTAAAAAACCAGATAATACACATAGTTATATAATTAAAGTATTAAATGTAATAAATATGATCATAAATTGCAATAAATATATTTTTTTCTTTCTTATTTTAAAATTTAATTTTAAAAAATACTTAATATTTACATTTTGATATTTAATTTTTTTAATTAACCCATATAATAAATAATGATAGAGGGATAAATGCTATATTTCAAAAAATAATGATGATCACCTTTGTTTTCGTAAAAACTATAACGTAAATTCTCAAAGTTTAGGGGCCAAAAGGAGAACCTCATTTTACCATCTGTTTTCATTTAAGCCTGATTTGAGTTTTACTTGGTTTTCATGGGGGAAAGGTGACGAGAGCTCAGCTGCTGCTTACGGAAATGGTGGGCAGACGAAAACAACCTAAAATTGCCTCAAAACGGAGAAAGTTTCAGAACAGAACCGGAGATGAAGCGAAAGATGATCGAATCAGTGCGTTGCCAAGTTGCGTGCTACTTGAAATCCTGTCCCGTTTACCCTCCACAAAAGACGCAATCAGAACAGGTGCACTTTCCAACCGATGGAAAAATCTTTGGACTTCGGTTCCCACTCTAATTTTCAAAGGTCGTGTTCGTAATGTCTGCGAATCCGATTTCGTTTCCTTCGTGGACAAAACCCTAATTCAATGTCGCCAATCGAAGCTCACGAAATTGGAAGTGGAGTCCTATGATATTCGACGATTTGCATCGCAAGTCAACAATTGGATTCGCTATGCTATAAGCTGTAATGTTGAAGTGCTTAAATTAGAGTTATGGAAACCTGTACATGAAGCTGGATATCCGTTGGATGAATTATTTTTCAGGGCTTCAAGTTTTACTCATCTGAGATTAGAAGGCTGCATTTTTAATCCAACTGGGGCTATTAGTTGGAAAAATCTTAGGAGTTTGAGTATTTCATATGGGAATTTAGATGAAGATTTGATTGAAAACATTTTATCTGGTAGTCCTGTATTGGAAACTTTGGTGTTGGATTATTGTGAAGATTATAGGCGGCTCAACATTACTTCAAAGAGCTTGAAGAACTTGGTGTTGTCCGGATATATCGATTATCTTGCTCCACCTAATGATGGTAGCATCGAAATCAATGCTCCTCATATTTCATCACTAAGAATCAGAGGTTGTTTGTTGTTGTGGAAGCCTTTGTTGGTAAACGTGTCGTCTTTAGTTGAAGCTAATCTAGATTATACACTCTATGATCATCATGAAACAAGTACCCTCGATGAAGCAGAAGAAGAGATGCTTAAAGTATTGATGCTAAACCTTTGCCGTGTTAAGGAGCTTAAGTTTAATTTTGGGGATGAATGTTCTAAGGTAAAGTGATTATTGTTTAATTTGAAATCATATTGATCATTAGCTGGGGTACTGTACGTAGTACTCTATTTATTATCATTAATTTGATAAACTTTTTCCAATTATCCAGTTGTTGTCTTATAAATCACTCGATGCTAGCTCCCAATATTTTATCATTTTGTTGTCTACTCACTTGTACTTTTCTTGTTGCTAGACTTTTTCTCGTTTGAAAGATAAGGGTTTCACTATTCCATCAAATGCAAAGTTTCATTGATTGGTCTGGAAGTGGGGTCTTGCTTGCATGATCATGGTCCTCAAGGTGAGGAGGTTAAACTCTTAATGATGCTTTGAATATTTCATATTTAGGCATTTTAGTTGTTACTCCAATGCATCTGTTGTAGATTAATTAGTAGCTTCCTTTTTGTTTCTAATCTTTATTCTTCCATGAGTACTTATGGCGTTTTCTTGAGCAAAATGGACAAATGTTTCATGGTATGAGAGGGAACATTTTGAATCACATGATTTTGCTAAAATTAGATCATAACCGTTTTATGTAGTTTTGCGGACAAGCAGTACGTTTTGAAAAGGTATCTTGTTTATTAAGTTTGTTGGTTGTTGTGTAGCTTTATTTGTATTGTTTGTATACAATCTTTTCGTTTGATGAATTGCCATCTCGATCTTTGTTGTGTGTATGTATATTGTGTTGTCCGTTTCATTTAACAGCGAGAAAACTGATTCTTTTATGATGTTTTGTTAAAATGATTATAATTGCGTCTTTTTAATTGTATAGGTTGAAAATAACGGAGAGGCGGATAAGTAGTTACTGAATAGGAAATTGACTATTGAAATTAATATAAGTTTACTTAACTGTCCCTAGCTAGCTTTCATAAACTGATAATTATGTGCTTTAACCGACAGTAATAACTATCCAAATGCAATCCATACATGTTCATATCAGAAGAAACTTCAAATCCACCTCAGCCTTTTTAATTATTTGATAAACGTGCATGTTTCCTCTATTTGCTGCTTAGAAACCATTTATGGAGCATGAATGTCTTTGTTTCTACCTCTTGGGTCTCTGTCTCTCTCTTCTTTCTTGATGTCGTTGCATGTTATAATTTTGTTGGCCCCATTTATAATTAATTGATGCATACATGACTTTTGTTGACTTTTTGATTCATATTGTTGTGTTTGTAGGTTCTGTCTCTTTTGGAAGCAAAAGGTTTCGATTTTCCATCAAATATGAAAATTTCCTGTTGTTGCTTGCTTATGATTGGTCTGACATTGATTCAGTTGGAAGCGAAGATTTGTGATACTTTGAATTCGTGTTTTGTCATTTTAGTTATCATTGTGACATATTTTCATCTCTTTTACTGTTTGTTGTTTGTAAGGTTTAATTACTTGGTTCCATTAGGTCTCTGTTGTGGGTTGCTTGCGGATCATTTCTTATTTTAAAATATTGAATCTATTGACGGTTTCATATGATCTTTCTCTATTTAGCTAATGCATTATTAGTTGTTACTCTGATGCATTTATTGTAGTTTAGAAGCATCGATCGATTTTCTTTGTAATTTTTATTCTTCCATGAGTTATGCCGTTTTCTTCATATAAGAGCCATCCAAATGTTTGTTAAGTAGTCTTTTCTGACAAGCGGTTATGCAAAATTATCTAACATGGAAAACGTACAGTGGACTTTGGATTTCAGGCTTCTATGTTGTGTTGGTTTTGTTATATCTTTTTTCTTTGTTATTATAAAGGTGCTGGTGTTGGTTGAAGTATTTGTCTATTGTGTTCACTGAATTAAGAGTTATAGTAAGAAGTAATATAAGAAGTGATGTGGTGGGCATTGAGTAGAAGAAAGTCATTAAACCGTATATAATTGTCATTAAACACATGTATAGATGAGTACTGACAAGTGTGGAAACATGATACAATGAATGACGTAGTGACTAGTGTGAAGACATGGTGACAATGCAAATAGTTTGGTCACGTCTTGAAGACTTTTTGACTGCATCATTAGAAGCGGAAGTTGTATCAACAAGAAATCACAGGAGGGGACAACTACCCAAGACTGATATAAGGGAATAATAAGATAACTTTGTATACCAAAGGAACGAACATGTTAGGACTTCATTAGTGACTTATTAGAATTCAAGGACTTTTCCTATTCATTTATATTTGTATAGTTTGTTCTTTTATAATTCATTTTGGTTTTGCTCTATCTTAAACTTATTTTTTTTAACAGCAACAGAATTCATTCCAAAAATCCAAAACTGTAGCAAGAAGCTAGAGAGGGCACAAGACTACAAAGAGTTTACGGAAGAGAGAGGGTTTTAACCCAATCCGTCCATGTAACGTTACAATGATTATTTATAACAATATTTTATTGAATTGAAATTCCATTAGTTTCATATTAAATGATTTTTTTTTCTTGTGAGAACTGATCATGTGAAATTCCACAAGGATTTTCAGCCAAAAATGGTTTTACCATTATACCCTTCATACATTTAAACACATTTATGATATTATTTCTACCATATTGCATCATAACTCAATTATTTATAAACTATAAGATTTTTGAATCTAATTCACAGCACGATCTATTTCCATCTTTAGCGGTTACGAAGGAATAAGTGAGATTATGTGAGCGAAATTGTTGTGGTGATCACCATATCTCACAAAATCAAGAAGGTAATCTATCTATTTATAGGATTTGAATTCCATAACCATCATAAACGATACCAATTAGGTTTTTTCAAAAAACACAAAAGAGATTATGATTTGTGAAAAGTTATTAATTTTTCATGGGCATTTCCAGGTTTTACTCTTCTTCTTGTGATTTCATCGTTAGGTAATCCTTTTCGTATGTGTTTTTCTCCATTTATCTCTCTTAAACCCTAATCCTTTTTATCCACTCGATTAGTTGTGTTTCTTCATCTTATACATTTTATATCTCTTAAATTGTAACCCTCTTAAAACCTTATATTTAATCACTATCACAATCGTCTTCTAACCTCACCCCTTCCTATCAGTTGTAATATTGTCGATTTTTATCATTAAGAATGTCGTTTTCGGAGACGAAACCATCACATTCATGGAGATATTTTATCAGAGCAGTGATTATGATGTTTGGTTATCCCATCAGGTATATGATGTTTTCATACGTGTAGGTTATTAATTCATAAATAGATTTAGAAGTAATGTGAATCAGCTTAACAATTTCTTTACTTGGTATTATTTAGGGAATAAAGTACATATACAAATGATGCAAAATGTTCCTATGTTTCTTGACTTTAGTACCCACCAGGTGTTTGACAAACTATCACAAAGAAACCTACATTTCCTTTGTTTCTTTCATTAAATGAAGTAGAATCAAAATTTTGGGCTTTTGGGGTTTAGCTGCTTTGGTTGCGATTTTAGTAATTATTTTTAACAATATTTCACTGAATTAAAATTCTATTAGTTTTATATTAAATGATTTTTTTGGTGAGAACTCATAATGTGACACTTTTTCATATGTATCATTTTAGAGGTTGCTTGAGATATAGATAACCATAACAATATATTATCATCTTACCAGAAGGTTAATCTAGACGAAGTGATTGTTGGAGGGTAATTCCTCATTAAATGTTCTTCTTGCTGTGTCAACTTCCAAAAACTATTTCATTTGTTGTGATAGTTTTGTTGAATTATCTGATTGATATAAATGTAGAACATGTTACTAACGTGTTTTTATATAGTTGGTTTAAAGGGATGGAATATCGGTACACTCTAAATTAGTAACAACATGCTTTTCTCTTTGCTAGAGGATTTTAAGGCAATGTATGTAGTTTTTGTCATCATATTTGATTATTGGCTACCAGACTAGGTTTGTTAGCATTTATCGAGGTTAGAATTTTGATAAAGTTTTTTTTTCTTTGGTCACCTTGAAGGAGAGAAGAAGAAGAAAAGATCATCTTGGAGGAGTAGGACCCTTTGGATCCAAAATCTCATCATCATTTGTCATCACCTTGATGTAAAAAGCAGTGAACTTGATAAATGACTTGATAAATGATAAGCATAGATCTAAGTTAGCCTTGAGTTTGTGTCCTTTTAGTGCCGATAGTTGGGTATTTTGAGTATGAGCTACTTCAATCCATTCAAGCCATCCTCTCATACCTTTTGATGTGCCTAGAGGCATAAGAATGTGGACTTGATAATTTATTCACTTCCATGCAAGTGCTACAAGGTCTTAATGGGTTAAGTAGAAGTGGTCTTTAGTAATAAGCACTTTTGGGCCATGCAAGACGATAAAGTTGGAAACTATATGATCCAGGATGTTATTTGGGACTTTGATTTGACTTTAGAGGTAAGGATTGGACGTTGTAAGCTCTTAACAGGAAAAGAGTTGACCACGTGCATACGTTAGGCATACCAAGTGGTACGTCATGCGTACGCGGTCAAAGCCCCATCACCTGGTTAACCAGTGAGTACGCCCCGCTTACAGAGGAATACACCCAAAATACCCGGTTGGGTTGACTCAGGTTGGTCTTCACTTGACTTTTGACCTTTGACTAAGTTTGACTAAGGGTATTTTGGGAATTGTTGAGTAGTGTTGGTTGTCGGAGCAGAGATTGATTCAGACTGCATTCAAATTGAGAGGTGAGTTTTTCGTCACTATACATATGGGTCGAATGCACCAAGGCTGACCAATTGGATTGATATCATGGTATGTTATATGTTGCTATGTTGTAGTGATATGTTAGATCTGTATCCTGGTACATAGGATGTGGCTATGTTGTAATGATCTGTTAGATCTATATGACTACATGTATCAGTTAGCTATTGATTGCTATGGCGTATGTTGATATGTGATGGTTTACTAGGTTGAGGTGGACCAGTTGAGACGCTGAAGGTCAAGACACCCAGGGTAGTCCGGATAGACTGAAGGTATGCGAGGCAGACTATTCAGGCCGAAGGCCCAGAGATCGGTCCAGATAGGTTGAAGGCCTGATGAGGCGGTCCAGTTATGCTAAAGGCTCTATATGCATGTTGTTGCCTTTTATGTTTATGTGGGAGAAACTAACTAAGCATTGGCTTACCGTTTTGGTTTTGTTTCAGATACTTTTGAGGACCTTGACAAGAGGAATGCATGACCGTACACATCCTTGGTTTTATGTTGTTGGATCTTGAGAGACTCTGGATTTATATTATCTTTTTGGAAACAATAGTTATGTAAACAAATTTTGAGTAAATGAGTTGTTTTTGAAAACTTTAAATTTGTTATAATTTTTG